ACAATTAGGAGAACGACAGAGAACGCGTTCTTTTCTCCCTAAGAATGATGTCGACTTGTCTGGGACGTGTTCATCAGTTCGAAGAATATATTCTCAAGTATTTCTTGAGAGAAGGTCAAAGAAAGCATTCTCATTTTCATGGAATCCGATCCTGACCGTCCCAAAAATGAACTGTTCAGAAAGCTTTCTCTTCAGATGAAGAACGATTTTGAACCGGGAAGAAATCATCCTATAAAAACGTGGAACGACAAAGAATGCGTTCCTTCAGATGCATAACTCATTCTTGTCGCTCATGAACGCATTCGCCAAACTATAGAACGCGTTCTTCATGAGAAAGGTAACTTTCCATGTTTTGCTGAACGCGTTCACTTCCGTTTTTTTCCATGATTATTTTTCACTGGGTCTTCTTTGAACAGTGGTTCTATCCTGGGGCGAAACAGCTCCCGCTACCAGAGATGAAACTGGCACTGGTATGGATTTTAGACCGACCTGTCTACCAGTAGACCACTAGTTACCGGTAAGCCACTGGCCGCCCTACAATACTCAAACCGGTGTCTCAGGCGGTCAAGTCCGGTTTGATCTGCTCAGACCAGTACTGGTATCAGCTATAAAAAATTAACGCTTGTCCTATCTCTGTCTAACACACTTAACTTAGTTCTGCTGATCTGACCAAGAGTTGCTATTTTGAAACTCTCTCGCTACGTCAAACAGTCCAATTTTACCACTTTCCAGTGACACCGCGCTTTACTAGAGTGGGCATGTGGGTGAAATGGTCGTGAATGGGAAGCGTGTGTTAGTGTGAACAGATGGCTCTGTAGGTGGATGTGGACGTATTGTAGGTGCGTGGGTATTCGTGTGAGTTGTTGGTGCCGATGAAAAGAAAACTCATACCCGTCTGATGAGACAGCGAAGAAGACGTCTTTTTAGGAAGTGCGTTTCCATGAAGTTCATTAATTATGTTGCTTTCCATAGTCTTAGTTTCTCGCGGTCTTATTTTGCTATCAGATCAAATTAATGTTTTATTTCCCTAGCTGGCTGGTTTCAATCCTAAGAGAACATGCATAATCGGATTCAACATTTCAGATGATCTATTGAATTAGTGACAATGTCGAATTAGACTTGTTCATCAATGAACTTTAACGTTCGAACAGAAAGCTCCATGATGAAGAATCGCTTAATCATCTACATGATTATTACTCTGACACTACTATTGATGATCTACATTAAATATTCGATCAATAACAATATTTTGCCATCCGAAAGAAGAAGTTCGCAAAGTGTTAATGACAATAGAATTCCATCGATTGTACATTTTGTCATTGGACAAGGTGATAAAGATGATATCCGGCATAGGTATCAAAGATCAACTCCATTTTCGTTCATCAACTATCTCACATTTCTTGCTGCTAGTCGGCATCTTCGTCCAAAGAAATTCTTTGTTCATTATTATTATGAACCTAATTCATTTTGGTGGAATAAAACCAAACTTGATCCTGAAATAAATATTACCCTGATAAAGAGACGACAAGTGAAGGAAATTTTCAAAAAAAACGTAGATCATCATGCTCATCGTGGAGATATTATGCGACTCGAAGTACTCATTGAATATGGAGGAATTTATTTGGATTCAGATGTATTAACACTTCGTTCATTTGTTCCATTATTGAATTTGAATGATGTTGTTATGGCTCATCAAGATGATCAAGAGGCAGCTTGTAATGCAGTGATATTAGCAAAAAAAGATGCCACATTTCTGAAACGTTTATATGATGCTTATCAAAGTTTCGATCAGAATTGTTGGGATTGCCATTCAGTCAGACTTCCAGGACGTTTAGCGTCGATCTATCCGAATGAAATCACTGTCTTACCTACTAACACATTTTTTCGTCCCAGTTGGAATGAAAAAGAAGCTTTATATGAATCAAACAACTATAATTTCACTCCGAACTATGCGTGTCATCTTTGGAATAAGATAAACAATCATAATTATCTCAGTCGATTAACACCTGAAGTGGCCCTAAGTGCAAATAATACTTTTGGACGAATGTTACGTCATGCCATCGGCAATGCTACTTTGATCAAACTCAAGCAATTCTTTAGCTCGTGAGATTATTCCTATCACTTCACACCTTGATTGAATACATCGCTCTTTTACAATGCAATCAAATATAAACTTTTCTATCAAGGACAACATAATTAAGAGACACGCTTTTATGAAACACGATTATCAATATGATAAATTATATAACCAGAAATTATATAACCAGAAAAGTGAAACCACCCTTTCGTCAAGTCTACCCCATAAATAATGACAGAAATATCGATGTTTTTTGGACCCATCTCAAACCTTGACAGTCATATAACCGTACAACATACAATATTCGGATCTCAAACTTTCGAGTTGTCAAGGAGCTTTGGTATTCTGAATCGACTTACAACCATAAAAATTTAAATATCCGTTTTTTTCTGAGGGTGTGAACGTGTTTTTCTTTTCGTTCCTACCCACAGCCTGGGTGTGCGGATGACAGTGGTTGAAGTTTTGATGCAGACTAGACGAGCATTCGCAAACATTCACTCCCCGATTTCATAATTACCGAAAGACTCACTTTCAAATAGCTTAACCATTGTACTATGGATTTTTTGAAACCCAAATTATGATGTGTGTTGTAGATTATAGCTAGAAAGCTGACCTCGACTCTGTCGTGTAGGTAGAAGTAAGCATGTCTGTAACTGCCTACGATGGTTTGAAGAGGTTTTCGACATGAATGTGACGGTCTGCATTGATGTCAGCACTTTTAAGTATGCATTTCACGGTCTGTGAATGGTTCGGAGGGTTCTCGGTGTGTTGCTCTATAGTTCCAAAAGATGCTGTGATAGTCTTAGCTTGTTCGATCATGGTTACAGTTGTCCTTCATATGTCACATTTCAATCCCATATGGATTATGCTGAAAACTATTCTACTGCTATGTATACCGATTCTGAATATAATATGCATTTTACTTATGAGTTGCCTATTTTCATAGTCAACTACTCTGACTACAGGTCAATTTTCAATATTGTGCTGCAGATGTTGAAGACATTTGGCTATCCCTGCATCATAGAGGAATAGGAAAAGAAGAAGACTTAGATTTTTCCCTTGTCAAGTGGCTATTTCAGTGATGTACAAATGAAGAATTTAAATCTTGGCACTTAATAGAAGATAGATGTGCAAGATTCGACTGTTGGTATATATTGAGACTGACTCAGCCAGATTCACCTAGAGCACGAAATGCGGTTGAATTACATCGAATAAACTTAGTTACACACAATATTCGACGCTGAATCCGATTAAATTGGTTTCATAGAGATAGAGTGATGGGATACGACTCAATCTAGAGTTTTTTTTTTAATAACTGGTTAGTTTTAGAAGTTTTTACACTAATTCCTATTATTGTGGTTTTTTTCGCCCATTGTTATATAGAAAAAGCATCAAAAGTATAAATTCTGAATCAAAGAATCAAGTTCTAGCGCCCATGTATAATTGAACGAAATGAAAACTCACTCTGTTTTCTTCTTACTGCGTTTTCTATTAGTTGCTTTCTGGTACATGAGATGTTACAATGCGCTTCAAGGATGTCTAAATACTTTTTTCGCCTCCTGTAGAGTGAAAGAAAAGATATTTTTCTGAGTCTTACATGGCATTCTAGATATATTCATCTAAGGCATCTTCGTTCGACGTACGTATCAACTTTTATCGACTATTAGAAAGCATGTGGAAGGTCGTGAGAATTAAAAGAGTCGTTTACGAACTAGTAGCGCTCGTTGTACTGATTATTTGTTTTTTGGTCTGCTTCTTTTCATGCTCATCAGAATAGTCTGTGATTCTAAGTTTTTGTCTTTCATTCGATAGATGGGCGAACAGAGACCTAATTGAAGGCAATGTGTAATATGTAAGAGTCTCGTCCTCACCAAGACCCTCTAATAGTACCATTGTTTGGCATCGCCCACTGAGTGCTTAGGAACAATCATTTAGCATTCTTCAGATATTTGTTTAGCGGTATGAAAGAGCTCTTCGATGTCGGCTTACCATGAAGTGATGTCTTAGTCGTCACTACCACGAAAAGGTCCAAGCGGTTGAATGTCTTTAACAAAGATTTGTGTCGAAAATTATGCCAATGTTTTTAGGACAGCTCTACTTTCTTTTCTTCGTGTTGGCGCTGAAACATACAGAACGTTTCGTTAGGCACGTTTGATGAGAGAAAACCGCTGTTTGTTAACCAACAGTGACGTAGCGGAAGAAGATACTAGGTGTGGGTGTTTGTTTCAAGTTCCAAGAATGTAGAAGAAATGATTAAGAGAGAAAAGAATGGCATCGGAAAACAAAAGGAAAATGTATATGTACATGATAGCACCTACTGATAAGAGAAGGATGAAGAGAACACACGATGACTAAGCACTTGAACTGTTATCTTGCGAAAAACAAGCTCTCACAGACGATCAGGAACAAAATAATTTTAAAAGTTTACAGTGAATTTTCCGTTCGATTACCATTCTTTATGGGTTACGGGTCGACTTTGTACCGCTATGTCACGAATCAAGGCCTTGCCAATCGAATGGACCCTTTAGGTCGATAATCTATACTAAATGCTTCGGGAAGATTTGGATTCCCTGAACTGCTATTACTTCTATGCTGCCGTAAAGATGTTTCTCATTACCCACCAGGATATCTCACGATCGCTCGATGAAGAAATTCAAAAGACCTTGTGAGAAAAATATAGTACATTTATTTGTTTTTCGCTTCTTTATCACTAATTTAGTTCTTCTTTTCGCTCTATTTTTAATATTTCCTTGAAAAAGTGAATATTCTTGAAATTAAAGATAACCACAAATGAGTTTATTGTCATAAATCCATTTTCTTTATTTGTGTCACTTTCTTTCATCTAGACATCAGTCTATCGCCACATTTGTCATCAAATACAAATATTCATATTAGTAAATTTCACTTCTGACGTTAATAACTCCTTTGGCGGCTCTATTATGAAAAACAGTACAGGTAATCAGTTATAATAAAATTAGCAATTATCTTGCGCACGACTCGCCGTTATATTTTAGTGTGCAATAGAGTTCGGCTGATCGTCATAACAATTCTAGTTACTTGCATAGTCATCATAGTATCCTTCTCTCACCGACATCGGTTACGATACTTGCGCCAGTCAGCATGCTGGAAAGCCGTTTCTGCTCCAGTGATTTCCCACTGGCTTATGGAATTTCAACAACACGAGCGTCGGATCTTTTCTCAAAATGGTGAAGATGGTGTGCTCCTCTAGATCTTCGCCAATATCGGTACAATTCATCAACCACCTCGTTTTGTTGAGTTCGGTGTTCAAAGTGGCCAAGAGTGCAACACACGTTTTCTTCGTGAACATCTTGGATGGCAAGGTCTAATGATGGATAATAAACATGAAAATCTCTCTATTAACCTTCACCGTGAGATGATTTCTTCAAAAAATATCAATGACTTGCTCGCAAAACATGGAACTCCATACATCATAGATCTTCTTTCGATTGATATAGAGTAAGATGTTCTCCTGATATAAAAGTGTATTCATCTCTGCTCTATAGCTTCGGCGATTACTTTGTTTGGAAGTCAATCCTGCAAGCCAACCGATTCCATGCCCGTGTAGTAGTTATCGAATTTAATTATCAGATCCCCCCCAACGAAAACCGAGTTGTCAATCCTAATCAAAATTCACGCCGATGGACTGGTACTGTATTTTATGGAGCTGGAATTCTAGCCTTGTCAGCACTTGGGCGTGCTCACGGATATACACTTGTGTACGGAGAACAGAATGGTGTGAACTTATTTTTTGTTCAAACATGTCTTCTTGTCCAACAAGGAGTACTTGATGACGTCAAATCAGTAGAGCAGCTGCATGTATCGAAACCTGTTGGTCAATGGAAACATGCATCTGAAAAAGACAAGTCACGAGCTTGGATATGGAATGATACTATTTGGAACTAATTATCCAGAGAATATCCGTGAAAAAACTGATTCACGTTAATGATGGAGACCATTTTTTACTAGATATGTTAACGTTAAAGAAAGTGCGCATGACGGCACTAACAGAGTCGGCTGGGACAAAAATTTTGATTTTCGATTTTTTTCTATCTCAAAAGAAAGACTGTAGTCTCAAATCTCTAACTCCAAAGTTTTAGTTTTTTTTGAAACTGTCGATAAAGAATGCAGCCAATCAAGTATCATTTCGGAGTTCATTTTAGCATAAAGAAATATTTTTCACTTTTCACACCTATTTCATATTTTGCGATATTCTTTCACACAGCTCAATTGTTGTATACCTGTAACGAGTAGCGTTCATCCTGCGCATTGGCTGATCCTTTTCTGAAAGATCGTATAAGATGTCGCTGCACTTGAAGAGAGGGTTAATAGTCTAAAAATCGACGTAGTTATTTGGGCGTTAATTTTGTCAACCATTGCACATGGAACCTCATATTTTCTTCATCTTTTCCTGCAAGACCTCCTTCCATCTGAAGCTGAAAACTCTGTTTCTGAGTTAGTCGTCAGGAGTATTTTTGGTTCGTGATTTCTTAGTGCTGTGCGCTTGTGTCTTATAAAAACGCATATTGTCGCACTGCAAAAGCTATCATAAAATTCTGATGGAAATATTTCCCTCACTTTGAGTACAACGTTAGGCATTTTTATCAAAGTAGCGTTCGAGAATGTAAACATATACACTTGTACTAGCTTTCTTGACTCAAAATAGGAAGGCACAAGGATTAATTCCAAATTTTAAGATAGAATTAGTCCATATGGACAATGAAAATCAAGCTGACTGAAGTTGTTTCGATCAATGTTATAGACAACTTAAGGTAACACAACATATGTCAATAACTCGAATCCGAACTTTTCTTCTCTTAAAAATGCATGAAAGGTAATTAACATTAGAAAATTTAAATTCCACCGACATGCGTCAGAAGAAGAAGCATTACTGTTACACCTAGTGTCGTAAGGTATAGTACACTCTTTAAAAAGACAAAAGGTTCTTAACTTAGTCACCAATCTGAACAGAGTATGGATGTAAGTGTGGAACGTGGCTGTGGATGTGTGAG